CTGAAGGGTTAGGACCAGTAAGAGATTTTATGAGTACATATTTTTCCTTACCTCTAAATATTCTATTTTACAGATATTCAAAGCAAAATTGGAGGGATATGGACTGCAGTGCACTCTATGTGAGGCTGCTCTTGAAGACCATCTGGAAGCTTTAGTTATCCCAGAATGCAACAGGCTGTTTATTGGCTAGCATTCACCTCTGGGTATATATTACAGCTGTGCTCTGAACCCTGCACTGGCTTCCAATTTGCTTCCAGTTCAAGGCACAGATCCAAAGGATCTCCAGGACTGTCTTCTTCAGTCCTTCTACTCAACTGTGGAGAGTCCCCATTTCTTCAAGGTCATACCATGAAGGTTCATTTCATATTGTAGCACCCCTAATTTGGAAGAGCCTCCCAGCTGGAGTTGGTCCCTACAGTTTTGCCTTACCAGAAACTATTGAAAACAGGGCTGTTCCAGAGGATCTGTGGCGATGCATGAGGCCCAGAATGAATGACTTTATTATGTTTTTTAAAACTATTTTATAACTATGCATTTGCAACTGTGGATTCTTTTTTTTAATTTTTCATTACTGTAAACCAGTAAGGGTCCTAGAATTGTGGCTGGTAATAAACCTGGTAAATAAATAAAGAGGGAGGAAATGCTATCTTTTTGAGAGTTCAGAAGTCTGTATCTCCATTTGTCTTAAAAAAAAAAAACATTTAAACTAAGTGTAGTCAATACATGTTGAATTCTAGTCTGAATAAACCACACTTTCCAAGCTGATGCATCCAACATACTTTGATAAGCAAAGCAAGTTATGCTTATCACTTAGAAAAGAACAAGGTGACTTTATATCAGCGAAGATAGCTTTAAAAAAGTATTTCAGCATGTTCAGTTCATCCTTCAAGGAACTATCAATAACCTATTTTCCTCCTGGAGCCAATCTGTGAGGAAAGCATGTGAGCAACCCAAGGACACCAATAAACTTCACAACATGTCACTAATTTGGAAAATGCATGGTTAGAAGAGGGATTCTAAAAAGCTTTTAAATGAAAGAATGGTAAGTCCATTAATGGATTTTTGAAAAAGAAAAGAAGACAGCTGAATAGGACCTCTGCATTCAGGGCAGTATATCTCTGAATACAAGCAGATGGGAATTATACTCATTCTTGCTTGTTCTTCTTTTATTCTCAGACTTAATTAGGAGTCCCTGTTTTGCAGGTGATGTCCACTCCATCAAACTGGTTCAATTATCAGCACTGCAATATTTCTGAGATATGCCCCACAACTGTCTCAGTAACGTGGAAGCAACTGGATTTGAGGATTCCATCCTTACTATTGCCGAAGTCTAGTGGAATTCCGCATAACCACCTTAAGAAGAAGACATGGCTGAAAAAATACTGCAGGGTGAAGAAGTTATTTAGTTCCCTTTAGGCCTTCAGCCCAAGACTCTCAAGTGTATCTGACTTCTATGCATATAAGGCATTGCAAGTTACTTTACGGCAATTATATAACGTGTGCTTGCTTCAGTACAAACTGGCAGAAGAGAGGAAATCACCCCAGACTGTTTGATTTTGAGAGAGAGAGAGAGAGAGATCATTGCATCAAAGCATGTTAAAAACTGCAAATTAGAGAAAACTTTCCTTGGATAGAACTATTCTGGGCTCTAACAGAAATTTCCTAAGCAGAGGCAAGAGCAAAGGTATCCAGGCAGGATCTGATCAACAGCAATCTGTCAACAGCAGTCTTGACTGTGCCTGCAGGAATCCAGACACTGAGAACTTCCTTACTCTCCCGTCAACCATATTCAGGTACAGCAATGAAGCTAATGCGCTCAAGAGGACAGTTTAAAAATGGGTGATGTGGCGGGTCTTGGCGTTTGGATGGTAAGTAGCACAAGCAGGTTTGGGTGATTAAAAACAGGGAACAGAAGGTAACTTTAGAGAGAGAGGTTAAAATACACTTGTACTTAAAATTGCTGTGAATAGTATCGGAAGCCACTTTATATTTTTTTCTCTTTCTTTTCTATTTTTCTTCAACTTTTTTCTTTTCTTTTCTTGCACTTTTTGCTTTGATTTCTTTCTTTTTCTTTTTTCTTCCTTGCTTTATATTAGTTTTTGTTAGTTTTCTTGTTTAAAAGTTAAAAAAAAAAAGGGAACCGAAGGGAAATGCTTGAGTCTATGCAAAGATAAAGACTCCCTCAAGTTAAGCTCAGCTTTGAGTGACTGCATCCATGTCTTCTTCTGGGAAATTCTTCAACTTTCTAGATCAGCCAAGACTCCTTCCTGACAGTCTACCTTCCAAGAATGAACTAGGTTCAACCTTGTTTGCTTTCTAGATCAGCTGAGACCTGTTAGTACTGCTACTTACCGAGGTTAAATCTATGAAAGAAACTAGAATGTATTGCAACAGTGACACAGATGACTAACATCCATTCCAGCGTTACCAATGAAAGCATGTAAAACTGTTACTTCTCTGCTCCTTTCCCAATTTAAATGAAATCAGTGATTTTTTTTTCTTTTTAAACAAATAATTTGACAAACCGCTTGGAGCTAACTGCTAGGGCGGGATAGCCTGAAGCTTCAGAGCATTAGTTTGCACAAGGCCACAGCATAAAAGAAGCACAGAGCTCACCATTTTTTGGGTGTCTTCCTGATATTGTTCTATTTGTGGCTCTGACTCCCAGCAATGGCAGCACAGGATATAAACTCAAGGCATGACATAAACTCAAGTCATGGCATGCAGATCTGGAATCAATTATAGTATGTATTCCGGAGCCTGTGGAGAGGAAATATACCACTTTGGTGGTAGTAATGACTTGTTTAAGCATGTGGGTTACCTCATAGTTACAAAGAACAACATGGAAGTATCAGAACAGGGCCTGGTGAAGACTTTGCAACTGACTGCAGGAGTCACCTTGCAATCATCAGAATAACATTCATGAAAAGGACATACCTCTTCACTTTGCCTTTTTCTGCCTTCGCTGATAACTAAACAACCCACATTTCAGGTTCTCTCTCTTCTAATGTTGTCTGCTACAGTGTCTCCCCACACCGCCACCAAAAGGAACCCTTGAAAAACTGACTTTGGGAAACAAAATAAATTATGGACCCCAAATCATTATCATTGTTCCATAGAAACTTTACCAGATACACATTCCCACATTTCTCTACCTATCTTCCCATCTTTAGTAAATGTTTTACCAAGATACAGACATTCATCTCCTCTAATAGTTCACCTTTAGTACATACCTTGCAATTCTTCACTCCATTTTTCCTGTCAAACACGAGTACTTTGCTCTGTGATGCATTTATAGTTCTTAAAGTTCAGACCCATGCTCTTCATTGCATTGTACATTCCACTTAACATTTGCTGCAAATTCATCCAAAAGCAAGTGCCATCTCCATACAAAAGTACGCACACATTCACTTCACCTCTAGTGTCACCGCAAGCATGTTTTACCCATTTGTTTGTTTTATTTGTTTATCCTGACTTTTGCTGAGGAGTTCAAGGCAATGCACATTTTCCCCCTATGAGGTAGATTGGGCTGGGAGAGAACAACTGGCCCAAAGTCACAGTTAGCTTTTATTGCTGAGGGTAGACTTGAACGTGGGTCTTCTCAGGCCAACACCTTAACTATTATACTACACAGAATCTCCATAATGTTATTGGACAAACAAGGGGTCATCCCATGTCTTTATCTTATTCTCTTGCAGACAAATGTGGAGGGCTACCACATTATCTTGAGTGGAAGAGTTGTCAGTCAGGACAATTGGATCGGAGGTCATTCTCCCTTCATTTCCAATAATGGCATCTTTTAAGATTTCCTCAATGGTCTTTTATTCTAGAAATCAACAGTTTGGACTACAGAATATTTTTCTCCTAAAGCAAAATAAATGACTACAGCAACAGGTAAAAGACAAACCAGCAGGTAAACGCCAGTCAAACATTAAAGCTTTGTCTGGACAATCAGAACCCAGTTCAGAGAGCATAGCAGGAATCAATAGCTTCTATCATCTCCGACAGCAAGCATTTTCTTCAAAAACCTCTGAAGCTCATCAACCAATTTGCAACATACAAAAGGGGCCAAAGACAAGATTCACATTCAGCCGTGCTCTAGTTTAATTCTTAGCACCTCCAGTTGAAAGCATCAGGTAGCAGATGACACAACCAACAGCCCTACTCAGAGTAGGTAACATTTGGCTGGATTCTGGAGAAAGAGTCTGCGCAATGTAAGGTCGCTTTCCATGTGTCAGTTGCTACTTTTAACTTGACTGATTGTAACAAGAATTTTGTGGTTCAGTTCTGGATAGGTTGCAGGAGGTCCTCAGTACCACAGCTCACACACTGAGCAAAGGGTAATCAGGCAGAATTTAGGCACATTCATCTAGCAACAATAACAATCACACCAGAGAGCAACCACTAACTTAGCAGATAATTCTGGGAAAGGAGCCTAAGAGAAAATGAGGACCACACTGAAACTCGGCCAAGGTTTACTCAAGTAAACGTAACTTAACCGTAGTTTCTCATTATGCTTACGAGCTGTGGTGAGCTGTAGGCTTTTACTCTAATTCCTTTCCATTCCTCTATTGTGTGCCTAGAAATGAGGTTGCAAAGTTTCCTTTATCATTTCCAACGAATCACACTGTTCCATTTTTTTAAAAAAGAGCCATGGATAACAGCTTATAATCATGGAGGGAAAGCCAATGGCCAAGTATAAAGTTTATACATATACATAACCATAGGTTATGGAAGCAGCAGCTCCTCTTTGTTTCTGAAATAAGAGCAGGCAGTCTCTGCCCAGCACATCTTATGCCTGACGCAGGACCCCAAAGGAACCTTCCTCTGACCCCAGTGTTTTGCTTCCATTGCTTCCTCCCTGAAGGAAGTGGCTTTATCCTACTGGAGGATAAGGCTAGCAAAGCAAGTAGGCGATAAGTTAATGTTCTGATCCTTGACAAAGCAGGCTATACATCTACAATATTAAGAGCCATACTGATCAAAGATCAATACCTTACCTGAGTGTCCCATAAGCATCTCCTCTCCAGGAGCAGTACCGCCTAGACCTTCTGAGACTTCACATAACAGGATCTATTTTCCTGCAATGAAGAACAGAAATGAAACACCTGCATCTTCCAAGTTACATTGCAAAGCAGGATATACAATATCAAGCTCCAAAGTCCTGATAATAGGCATCTGAGGGAGGAGGAGGTCTCTCCAGAAGTCAAGATGGGAGCCACAACTACCTGACCAAACCCCATTCCTTTTTATGTGCATGGTGCGTGCAGCGAACATAAAAAAGAATGGGATTTTGATTGTGTGTGGCCAACATCTTGCTTTCTTTACTTTTCTTTCTACCCCCCCCCCCCTCAAAAAAAGACAACAACACAGTCCAGCTTGATTGGTCAGAACAAAGTCCCAGGGCCACCTTTCTATAAGACCCTCTCTATAGCTGTTTTATCTCCAGCTTTATTTCTGAGAGCAATAAAATCTTGGAAAAAGATCACTTCTTTCTCTTGTGGCCACTACATTCCTTGCAACATTCTGCCATGGGCCTGTAGTATGAGAAATTGGAAAAGTGGTATACAAACTTGAATTCTAATATTGAATTAGGATGCTAAATTTGTCTTTTATCCTAATATTGAAATCACAATTTATATAGATTGAAAGATCTACAGTGGGTATCAGTTGGTTTCCATGCTCAATTCAAGGTTGTTTTTTTGTTTTTTTTAAAACTTTTAAACCCTACATGGTTCAGGTGTTTTTTTGAGGAACTTGTTTTATTACAAACTTGTTCAGACATTAAGATCTGCTGGAGAGTCTCTGGTTGAAAAGCTTCCTTATCAGCCACCGAGAGAAGGAACATTCTGGATAATACATTCCCCTTAGAATTTCAGGTGGTCCCCATAATTCTGTCTTCAGAAATAGAAGCACAGAAATAGAGTTTTTGTGATATTTTACAACTTTGTTATTGTTTTAAGTTTGGGGAATGATATAATTACAAGATTTTTGCTATTGTGAGGACAGTCTACGGAAGCAAGGTTCTGAGTGAATCTAAATGAAATATGGTTCTTTCTTCCATATCAAATGGAATGGATGAAATGCCTGCAAAATGCTTTCCCACTGGGACCAAGACAAAGTGTACAGATTTCCTAAAATCACTATGATGTTCCAGGCTAAAGTTATTTGGAGAAATCTAATCAAGAGGACAAAGAGAACATTTCCAGCCAATAAATTATTTATGTGTTTTTTCAGCAGCACTGAAAACAGACCTCTTTTTATAGGTACGAAGTGGAAGAATACCACAAAAATGTTTATTAATTTTCAATTGTCCGTGAAGTTATGCTGGAATATTTAATAGGTTTCCAGGGCATGCAATAAAGAATGGCTCTCTAAAGAGTGATGGTCCACCATCTAGATTTTTATGAACATCAACAGTTGTTTCTAAGATTATACCAGTTCCCCAAAATACAGTCATTTCCTACCCTGCTATCTGAGAGTTCTTTAACAGAATTGTTGGGGCCAGAAAAAAGGATTGTTATCTGCAATGCTATATAAAAGGATTGTTCTCAAGCACAGAGTTATCCTATTCTTCTTCAGGAGGACTTGTCTAGAGCCTGAACCCAGGACTTATCCCATTAAAACCAAGAATAGTCTACTATTGTTTAGAATGTTTTGAACTGGCTTTCTTCCTATGCTCATTCTACCGAGTGCTTCCCTCCCTCAAGCACCAACCATAGGATGCTCTGCAGAAAAATACTGCAAGTCTCACCTACCACTATATCGTACAAACTGTTGCAGAGTTTGTATGTAAAGATGTACAACTTGAGGGAGGAGGAGACCAAGACCACTCTTCAGATAGTCGTTTGTGCCCTAGTCACCTTGCAGCTTGACTACTGTAGCATGCTCTATATGGGGCTATCCTTGAAGGCCACCCAGAAGCGTCAACTGGTCCAGAATGCAGCGGTGCAAGCAGTGATAGGTGTACTTCGGTGGGCCCATGTAACACCTTTGCTTTGCAAGCTGCACGGTGTCTGTTGCACTTTCAAACGCAACATTCATTTCCTTTTTAAATGCCCCTCTTTCTCCTTCCATCAAGGCTTTTCCCACAAGCCTGTATGTGATCACTACAGCTTAAACTTTACATCAGTTATCATGCAACATTATTTTTTTTTAAAAAAATTGCCACAGAGTAGAATAAACAAACAAGCTAAAAATTAACAAAGAACTTTAATCTTGCCCCATCAGGTACTGCCCAGGAGCTTTACCCATTTTGATTCTGAAATCTGTCAATATTCAAGATGTTTTACTCCCAGATAAACGAGCAGACTGGCAATCTTAAATTCAGTATATAAGAATCCCATGTTCTATGCAGCTCTCTGCTTTTCTGCCTTGCCTATCATTAGAGCTGAATAATTACATCACTCACAAGGGTGAAACTGATTTGAAGCTGAGCGGACAAACGTTGCCTGCTGAAAGGAAGCAACTTTATCTAGTCTTCCCTCTTTCAGAAAGTCCACATCTCAGCACGGTATATATGACTCATATTTCAGTATGGATGTAACCTTTCAGCTGCAATTTCCTAGGCAAAGACTAGGTGCTAGAACCACCTGGGGACGCCAGGGGCAACATGTGCTTCCTGAACCAGCAGGGGGAGCACTGAAACAGCCAGCCACTTGCTCATGTATATTCTTGTTTATGGAGATGGTAAGTTTCTATTATAGGCAAAATATTTGCGTTGTTGTTACTTGGCTAAGGAAATCCAACTGTCAATACACATAAGAGAAAGACCGTTTCTGAGGCATCATTACAAAGGTCCAGGTCTAGCACATGGAGAAAAATCCTCCATCTACCAAATTCTGAGCCGTAGGAATTGTTTTCGTAGGTGGGTAGTTAGTTTCTCTAACTACGGTAATAAAAGAAGGCAACATTCTGGCAGTAATTGGGTTGAGTGGGATCAGCAGAGCAGGGAAGAGCAAAGAAAGTGGGATAAGCACTGACTCACATCATAGAGATAAACAAAATCATTGTATTTCAAAAAAATACAAAAAGGACAAAAATGTTTGTAACATTCAACATCAACATTACGCTCTCAAAATGTAGAACGCTGAACTGCCCAAGTCTACCAACAGATGTAGATATTTGAGGATCTCTTCAAAGTTTGGGTGATGTTGACAGTTTTGGAATGAACAGCATGAAAAATCTCAGGTTCTGTTTGAATTTATTAGGCTGGGTCTATAGTAGACACCTCAGCCTTCCTCTCCTCCAACAGGTACCCAGGCCAAACATCAGTTCTGCCAATTATTTATGGTTATCTTGGTTTCAGCATTATAAAAAGAGATTTGGGTTTATTTGTTTGGAAGAACCTTGAAAAAGTATGGCTTTAAATTAGCAATATGTTGGCAACAGGGTGGGTTTTAATTTTTTTATTTTGCTTCCCTCCTCACACCCAACTTTTGCTTCCCTCCTCAAACCCAACCCTTCCTGGATGGAAAACTCAATTGGAAAACTCCCTCACATCCCTTACCACTTGAATTTTGCACAATTGCTACTACAGTACACTCAAAATGGAAAATTATTGGGTGCTCTGCAGAAGCAGTTGTGCCAGATTTTGCCAAACTTGTAAAGACTGATGTTGATTTATCCACTCAAAGATAGGAGATGAGGTCATTGTCTTCTAAGTTTCCATAACGAGTTGGCAGGAAATGGGAAGTTAAATCTTTGCACCCTAATTCTCGTAATTAGGAGGGAACAACAACAATGGCAAAATGGGTAAAAGTGGAATTATTCCTTAATTTCCATACTCAAAGGGCCAACTTTGTCAAGAACCTGGAGCAAAACACTCTAGGAGGTGAATCCTCATATTACTGGCAACAAGTAATGTTGACTGAGTCTGCTCTATATTAGTCTTTTCTGAAGACTGGAAAAGTTATAGCAAATTCCTTCAGCATTCTACAGGCCTAGAAATAATCTGCTAGATTACTAAATACCCAATTCCCTGGCATACAGAGAGACACCCATCCAAGCCCTAAATAAGGGCTTGCCAGCACACGTTTAATTTGGCACTGTGGGAACAGGTGATGTTCAGAAGAGAGGAGCTTTTGAGACCTTCCCAAAACGTTGTCCCAAATACCTTGAAGCTTTGAGGAAGATTTCCCTAGACATATAAATCATTGTTTTGAGTAGGGCTGCCAGTTTATAACCCAGAAACTTTCTCAGGCCTGCCTGAAGCAACCTCTTCTCTCTTCCATTACTTTCATTTGCTCTCTCTCTTACATCCTCTGTGGTTTACTTGGAACACTTCATTACTTCAGGGAAATGAAAGGAATATTGAGTAGGCGGATGTTGGGCAGAAGAGGACAAAAGGCGGGGGGGGGGGAGAGGAACAGGGTAATGCAGATCAGCAGGAACTATGGATTCTGCCTCTTCAGTGGTTTTCAAAAGGCATGGACTAAGTTCTAGGACTGCGCTCTGCCAATCCCATCTTATAACAAATTCTGCCCATTCCCCCCCGCCCCAGAATTGCTCCAAATGGAATGATGAATGGGACACAGATTGAAGTGTACCGTGAAGTGAAGAACTGAATGTGATCTTCAGGGATCTGAAAAGGTCAGTGAAGATTTAAACAGGGAGGGGATGACTGGGCTGGCCAGCTAGTCAAACACTGTACCACTGTACTACTGACAACATTTTAAAGAATTCAGGAGTTTGTGAGGAACCCAGTAAACTTTGTGGTAAGACAGTTGAATCTTGCAAGCTATGCTTTGGGATAAGAAAATATGGTGCTGTTTATAAAGTTGCAGAAGCAAAGGACGTGGCAACATCATATTTGGCCTATACCCTTTTCATTTTGTCTCGTAATAATTTTGCCCTTTTTTGGTTAGATGATTCCTTAATAATAATAATAATAATAATAACAACAACAACAACAACAACAAGTTCCTTTCAAAACAAATCATGACAGACATGCAAAGCACAAAGGGAAAACAGGGACATAATTTTCACCCAAGATGCACAGAGAACGGACATGCACTCTTGGTTATGTATACATTTATTAATTTTAAAAGGTAAATTTTAGACATCCCTTCTAAGCTTCCTG